TTACTGTTCAAAAAACTGATTGGGCCCTAGCCAGTTTGCCTCAGTGGTTACAGCATCAGCCCACAGACTGAAGGGTCCTGGGTTTGATTCCGGTCATGAGCATGTACCTCGGTTGCAGGCTCAAGCCCAGCCAGAGGTCAGGCCACATGGGGGAGGCAACCAATCAATGTGTATCTCTCACATCAATGTTACTCTCTTTCTCTCTCCCTTTCCCTTCCACTCTCTCTAAAATATCAATGGAGACTCAAGGGGCAGACTCAGTGAGCACCAAAGCCCCACTGAAGCAAGTCTTGCCTCATAAGGGTGTCTTCAGCACAGAAGTTCTCCCACTGTAGACACAGCTGATTCTCACAGCCAATTGGCCTGGAGGTCAATTCCTCTAAGTGATACCTACAACAATCAAGGCTTAACTACAACAAGACTGTGCACAAAGCCCACAAAGGGGGTGCACCAAGAGTGTCCACCTCAGGTTATTGGGGAGGCTGAGCCACTGGGCCCTATAGGACACCTAGCACACAAAGCCACTCTACCAACACAGGGAAGCATAAAAAATGAGGAAACAAAGAAACAGGACACAAATGACAGAAAGGGAGGAAAGCAAACTACTGGATATAGAGTTCAAAACCACACTTACAAGGTTTTTCAAGAACTTTCTAGAAACCACTAATAAATGCAGTGAGACCCTCAAGAAATCTAGTGAGACCCTCGAGGTTATGATAAAGGACCAACTAGAAATTAAGCATACACTGACTGAAATAAAGGATATTATGCAGAGTTCCAATAGCAGACTAGAGGATCGCAAGAATCAAGTCAAAGATTTGAAATACGAAGAAGCAAAAAACACCCAACCGGAAAAGCAAAATGAAAAAAGAATCCAAAAATACAAAGATAGCGTAAGGAGCCTCTGGGACAGCTTCAAGCGCACCAACATCCGAATTATGGGGGTGCCAGAAGAAGAGTGAGAGCAAGATATTGAAAACCTATTTAAAGAAATAATGACAGAAAACTTCCCCTACCTGGTGAAAGAAATAGACTTACAAGTCCAGGAAGCGTAGAGAACCCCAAACAAAAGGAATCCAAAGAGGACCACATCAAGACACATCATAATAAAAATGCCAAGAGCAAAAGACAAAGAGGAAATCTTAAAAGCAGCAAGAGAAAGAAAGTCAGTTACCTACAAGGGAGTACCCATACGACTGTCAGCCGATTTCTCAACAGAAACTTTGCAGGCCAGAGGGGAGTAGCAAGAAATATTCAAAGTGATGAATGCCAAGAACCTACAACCAAGATTACTTTATCCAGCAAAGCTATCATTCAGAATTGAAGGTCAGATAAAGAGCTTCACAGATAAGGAAAAGCTAAAGGAGTTCATCACCACCAAACCAGTATTATATGAAATGCTGAAAGGTATCCTTTAAGAAGAGGAAGAAGAAGTAAAAGGTAAAGATACAAATTATGAACAACAAATACACATCTATCAACAAGTGAATCTAAAAATCAAGTGAATAAATAATCTGATGAACAGAAAAAAAAAATAAAAATAAAATATCAATAGAAAAAATATCATTGGGTGAGAACAAAAACAAAACAAAACACTGATTGGTATATCCATTTTATGCAAAACTGAGTCTTAAGCAAAGTCTATCGCAAGGGAAAGTCATCAGCACTTTGTAGACCAGTTTAATAAACCATTCCTATTAATTAGCCAATGTATTTTCACAAAGTGTAAGATCTGTGTGGTATTTTGAAATTATATGTGCTTTAAATCATCTGGGGGAAAAAAATTTTAAAAACAATAATTAAATTTCGTTTTGCTAGTTTGTTTAAAAAGTGAAATATCAAATAAAAGGAAAAGCAATCTCTTAATCCCTCAAAGACATTTTTAACTCAAAGTTATTTTCTTGGGTAACCCAAAAATACTGTTGTTTTTCTACACAGAAATGTCGAAATTATTTTTTTTAGAAGTTGGAATCATCTAATTTAAAAAAAATTTGTTTTCATCCCTATCCAGGTGGTTCTGTTGTTTGGAGTGTCAGCCTGCACAACAAAAGGTTGTGAGTTTGATTCCTGGTCAAGGCATATATCCAGCTGGCGGGTTCCATCCCCAGTCAGGATGCATGTGGGAGAGAACCGATTGATGTCTTTTCTTCCCTCCTTCCCTCCTTCCCTCCCCCGCTTCCTCACTCTCCCTCTAAAATCAATAGAAACATATCTTCAGGCGAGGATTTAAAAAAAATGTATTCAGGGCAACTTTTTTGGCTGATACTGTTAGCAAGTTAACATGTTTGAAGAAAAAGTCCCCTCAATAGGGATTGCTTTGAGTAATACACATTTTAATGATGTTAATTCTTCCAGTCCATGAACAGGGTATATGCTTCCAATTGTTTGTATCTTCCTCTATTTCTTTCTTCAATATCTTATAGTTTTCCAAGTACAGATATCTTATTTTTGTTGTTGTTGCTGCAAAGGAAAATGGGATTCATTTCTTTCTGAGAGTTCATTATTGGTGTAGTAAAATGTTAATTTTGTATCCTGCCACTTTGACGAATTCACTTATTAAATCTAATAGGTTTTTGGTGGATTTTTTAGGGTTTTCTATATATAATATCATGTTATCTGTGAATGACAGTTTTATTTCCTTCTTTCCAATTTGGATGCCTTTTACTTTTTCTTGTCTGATTGCTATGGGTAGAATTTCCAATACTATGTTGAATAAGAGTGGTGAAAGCAGACACCCCTGTCTTGATCCTGGGACAAGGTCGACACACTGTTAGCTTTTGCCTATTGAGTATGATGTAGGCTGTAGGTTTGTCATATATGAGAAATGCTGATTCCTCTATTATTATCTTGATCCCTCTATTCCCACTTTGCTGAGAATTTTTATTAAAAATGGGTGCTGATTTTGTAGAATGCTTTTTCGGCATCTACTGATATGATCATGAGATTTTTACCCTTCATTTTAATTATGTGATGTATCACATTTATTGAATTGTGAATACTGTACCAGCCTTGCCACCCCAAAATAAATCCCATTTGATCATAGTGTATCATCATTTTAATGTACTGATGGATCCAATTTGCTAATAATATCTTATGAGATTTTAGCATCTATGTTCATTAGGGATAAAAACAGTATGGAGTTTACCAAAAAAATTAAAAATGGAATTTCCATTTGACTCAGCGATCCCATTTCTGTGAATATATCCTGAGGATCCCAAAACACCAATCAGAAAGAATATATGCACCCTATGTTCACAGCAGCAATATTTACAATAGCTAAGGTCTGGAAACAGCCCAAGTGCCCATCAGTAGGCAAGTGGATTAAAAAAGCTATGGTACATTTACACAGTGCAATACTATGCAATTGTGAAAAAAAAAAGCAGGATCTATTACCCTTTGAGACAACATGGAGGGACTGGAGAATATTATGCTAAATGGAATAAGCCAATCAAAGAAAGATAAATATCACATGATCTCATTTATATATGGAATCTAATGAACAAAATAAACTGACCAACAAAATAGGTCCAGAGACATGGATGCATGGAACAGATTGACATATCTCAGAGGAAAAGGGGGTGGGGGGTCGGCAGGAAGAGATTAACCAAAGAACTTATATGCATATATACATAGCCCATGGACACAGACAATAGTGTGGTGAAGGCCTGGGGTGGGGTGGGGTCGGGGTGGAGGTGGGCAAAGGGGGATAAGGGGGGGGCGGGGGAAATGAGGGATATCTGTTAACATTGTCAACCATCTACATAAAAAGGCCTAAGTGACTGTTACAGCAGAATGACCAGAACAACCGGTCGCTATGATGTGCACTGACCGCCAGGGGGCAAACGCTCAACGCAGGAGCTGTCCCCTGGTGGTCAGTGTGTTCCCACAGGGGGAGTGCCACTCAGCCAGAAGCTGGGCTCACGGCTGGCAAGCACAGCGACGGTGGCGGGAGCCTCTCCTGCCTCCACCTCCATGGTAGCGCTATGGAGCAGCAAGCAGGCAGGTGGACATCCCCCAGGGGTCCCAGACTGTAAGAGGGCACAGGCCGGGCTGAGGGACCCCCCACCCCCTGCAAGAATTTCATGCATCGGGCTTCTAGTAAGAAATAAATTTAAAAAGTCCCCTCATATAAGTCAGAAAGAAACCTAATATGGTATCTGTATGTAGTAGTAAGTTGATGATAATAAACCAAGTCCTAAAACCAACCTGTCTATATTGTGGTCATTTCCTATTCAAAACACCTCTTAGGAGACTTAAGTTACGCAACTCTGATTCAGAAAATCAAATAAAAATTAGAACTTGGAGCTACTATTTTCAACTAATAGAATTTCATACAGGCACCCACAAAGACTGGCATATAATCTAAGTATATCATTCATTCAAGTTACATTTCAATGTCTACTATATACACACTACACAATTAACACTATCATAATTGGCTGGCCTGAATTTAAAATTTGCCAGTATTTTTTTTTCAATCTAGCAGATTCACTTTCACTCCAAAAAGGGACTTTGTACCTACCTTAAATACTGATTCTCATCCTCAAAAAAACAAGACTCGACATTTAGGAAACTCAAAATGACTCTGTAACAGTATGTGGTAGAATATTCTTACATTTATTTGTTACCATTTCATGTTTTGAATTGTTTTATAGCTAACTGTTGTTCCCTCTATCAGAGGTGCTTAGAAACCTACAATCTTACAAAAAAATTAATTTTCTGATTTCTCATTAAAAACTATCCCTCATTTCCTCCAATTTTTACATTAAAGATGAGTTCCACATTTGTACTCTAAAGTTTAGAAAAAGCCATGATCAGGCAGTCAAGTGTCAGTCTCTGCAACAACCCCTTGGTCTACCTACTTTCACTAGGTAAAAACCAGATTACCTAAATGTACCTACCTGGTTTACTATATCTTTTTATTTTTTTTATTTTTTTAATAAAAAAAATTGTATTTACTTAGAAACATTCAGAATGTCAACAAAACAGCTGCAACTTTCTTTTTTTTTTTTTTGCAATTACAGGGTGGTATTCAGTTAACAGAAAAACAATTATTTCGTATAAGCTGCATCAGAGACAACTGAAGATGAAAAGCTACCATCCCCATATATAACTAATTTGTGCTGTGCACCAACAAGAACCTGCTTTAAATTTCCATGCCAATTTACAACCCCCATATTGTACCAGGCAAGGTTAGTGGCTATTGAAAATACAACCAGGACAGGACTATCTAAAGACACATTCGGTAGTGTGTGTGTGTATTTTGGGTTTGGAGAAGGAATGTGGTAGTGATGGGCTAAGTGGTGGTGGGATAAACTCAAGAAAGCACAAATTTAAGTAGCTATGTTTAAATATATAGAGGGTTCCTTTCCTCCCCCTTTTTCAGTTCAGGAATTTATGTTTCATTGTGCTGCTTATTTAATGTCATTATATAAAAACTTATATTTTTACTTTTCCCCCCTCCCTCCATTCTTTCTGTTAATGATAGTGACAGTTCAGAATGTAGTCTGTGAAACTCCCTTTTTGGCAGCATCAGGCTTTCCTTTAGCTCAGTATGCAGCAATATCCTTTTCATATTTCTCCTTCAGCTTAGCAGCCTTCTTTTCATAAGGCTGCTTGTCATCTGCAGCAGTGTTATTCCACATCTCTCCCAGCTTCTTTGCAATGTCACCTATGGATAGGCCAGGATGCTCTCCTTTGATTTTTGGGCAATACTCAGAACAAAACAAGAAAAAGGCCGAAGAAGGCCTCTTGGGTTCATTGGGATCCTTGAATTTATTTTTTGTTTCCCCTTTAGGAGGAATATAAGTTTTCATTTCTCTCTCGTAACGAGCCTTGTCTGCCTTTGCCATGTCCTCAAATTTTCCTTTCTCCTTAGCAGACATGGTCTTCCACCTCTCTGAGCACTTCTTAGAAAACTCTGAGAAGTTGACTGAAGCATCTGGGTGCTTCTTCTTGTGGTCCTCCCAGCAAGTTTGCACAAAGAAAGCACACGATGACATTTTGCCTCTCAGCTTCTTAGGATCTCCTTTGCCCATGTTTAATTACTTTCCTCAGTGAGCACACAGTCACCCAGTGCCCAGCTGGCTCGCACTTGCCCCGGCGCTGTCTCTATGGAGCTCAATGTACTGCAATGGCTGTGAGAGCGGGAGCCAGACATGTTACTCTATCTTTTTAAAAACAATATGATGGTTGTAGATTTCTCAAGTAAGGCTTCTTGAAAGAATCAGGATATATAGATTTTTCTAGATTTATTAAATAAGGCTTCTTGAAGAGTTGTCAAAACTCAATTCTAAATTATTTAAAAAAGCAAACCAAAAAGGAGAAAACTAGCTGCTCCAAAACTGTAAAGGCTCAAAGATGGAATCATCACTTTAAGAAGTGAATTTTTAAAATTAGCCTTTTAGAGATACAATAGTCAATACATACCTAATACCACCATAAAATAGACTGTCATACCGTGAACTTTCACAGACTACATTCTGAACTGTCACTATCATTAACAGAAAGAATGGAGGGAGGGGGATAAGTAAAAATATAAGTTTTTTTTGTTTTTGTTTTTTTTTTAAATATATTTTATTGATTTTTTACAGAGAGGAAGGGAGAGAGAGATAGAGAGTTAGAAACATCGATCAGCTGCCTCCTGCACATCTCCCACTGGGGATGTGCCCGCAACCCAGGTACATGCCCCTGACCGGAATCGAACCTGGGACCCTTGAGTCTGCAGGCCGACGCTCTATCCACTGAGCCAAACCGGTCTCGGCAAAAAAATAATATAAGTTTTTATATAATGACATTAAATAAGCAGCACAATGAAACATAAATTCCTGAACTGAAAAAGGGGGAGGAAAGGAACCCTCTATATATTTAAACATAGCTACTTAAATTTATGCTTTCTTGAGTTTATCCCACCACCACTTAGCCCATCACTACCACATTCCTTCTCCAAACCCAAAATACACACACACACACACACACACACACACACACACACACAGTTTAGAAAATACAAAGCATATCATTATATGTCAAAAAATAAATTTCACCAAAGCTTCATGATTTATCAAAAGCAAGACAATCCACTGCTAAGCTATGAGCTACTAATACCAATTCAGACCTAATACATACACTGAAATTTGAATAAAATCAGTCACTGATCTGGTATCTCCAATTTTTTTCTAACAAATCTAATATTATAAACTGCAAACTATAAAAAATAAATGAGCATGAAAAATCATGGATGAAACTTAAATTACTGTTAATATAAGAATGTTTAAAAAATCTGTCCATTTTAAAATAAAAGTACTTTGCCATATAAACTGTTAAAATAAATAGTTTTTACAAAACTGTTTTTCCCACCACAAAAGTCCTTTTTGAAAGCAAAAATGCAATACTATCCAGTACTTTGGAATTTCCTGCTATTTATGAAACAGCTTAGACAAAATGCCTTTTTATTAAGTTGCAAAGAGATCCATGAAAACTCCAAAGAAACTGCTCTGACAAGTTCCAATAAGGAACGTCATTTGAGCAATTTGCTCATACGCTAAACAGCACTAGTCAAACTACCTTCTGGGCTTTGGTTTTAATCAAGCTTGTTAGTTAAGCTGGAGCTGACATCTTTTACATGACTCACCTAAATAAAATCTATATTAAATTAAGGATCCAAAAGATTGACATTTACCTACGACCATCCAGTAGATTACAATGTTCTATGCATCATATTAAATTTTACACACACACACACACACACACACACACACACCTTAGGACTTCAATGGCACGTACACCTATCTGCAGAAATATATATACATAGATTAATGGTTGCATCTCCAAGCCACTTTTCGAATATCTACCATAACCTCTAACTGCAGATACCATATGGTATAATTACTACACTGTGATATAGTTCAATATACTTGACACTCAGTCAATATTCTTTCCCCAAGACATTCTGACTATTTCCTAAATTTTTGTTTTCACCCTAAGTAATAAAATATTCTTGGATCAGTAACAGCAAACTGGCTGTTATCCGCAATGTAAGTTTCTCATTTTAAGATATAAAAATTTAAATAAACTCTATAACATTTGCCTCCTATATGCTATTAGAACGGCAACTCACCTTTCACTAATCCCTAACCTTACACTTTTTGAAAAATTTTATTTTCAGTTACAAGCGACATTCAATATTATATTAGTTTCGGGGGTCAGCGTAGCGGTTATACATTTATATAACTTACAAAGTGATCCCCCTGATACTTCCCATCTGACACCATACAGAGTTATTAAAATATTAGACTATATTCCTTATGCTGTACTTTATATCCTCGTGACTATTTTGTAACTACCAATTTGTACTTCTTAATCCCCTCACCTTTTTCACCCAGCCTCCCAACTCCCCTCCCATCTGGTAACTATCAAAATGTTCTCTGTATTTATGTTTGTTTGTGTTTTGTTTGTTCGTTTATTTTAATCTTTCAATTCCACATATGTTAAATCATACAGTATTTGTCCTTCTCTGTCTGACTTACTTCACTGAGCATAACATCCTCTAAGCATAACACCCTCTATATCCATCCATATTGTTGCAAATGGTAAGATTCCATTTTTTATGGCTGAGTAATATTCCATTGTGTGTGTGTGTGTGTGTGTATATCACATCTTTATCCAATGGAATATCAAAGGACACTTAAATTGCTTCATATCTTGGCTATTATAATTAATGCTGCAACTGAACACAAGGGTGCACATATCTTTGGATAAATACTCAGAAGTGGGATTTTTTTCATATGGTAGTTCAACTTTTAAGTATTTGAAGAACCTCCATACTGTTTTTCATAATGACTACACCAATCTGCAATCTCACCAAGAGAGTACAATGGTTCCCTTTTCTCTACATCCTCACCAACACTTACTGTTTACTAATTTATTGATGATAACCATTCTGACAGTTGTAAAATATCTCACTGTGGTTTTAATTTGCATTTCTCTAATTAGTAATGCTGAGCATCTTTTATGTCTATTGGCCATCTGTAAGTCCTCTTTGGAGAAATGTCTATCCGGGTGTCTTCTTGCCACTTTTTAATCGTATTGTGTTTTTTTCACCTTATACTTTCTTATTTCACAAAATTGAATTCAGCAGAATTCACCTAATAGTTACATTAAAGTGAGGGGGGGGGGGGAATCAATTTGATTCTATTTCTAGTTATTTTGGCCAATTATTTTGTGCTACCTTAAGAAGGACATCAGATCAATTCACTAACTAAATGTTCTCCTGACACCCAACAGATCTAAATACGTTACACCACTATTCATTGAATAAGCCTAACAATTATCATCCCTATTTCTATTCATATTTAGTGTAGTCCACGGTACACCAAACATCATCCCTATCCTACACTCAGCTTTCCTGTGTACTGCTATGGAAAGAATATAAGTACTGTCATTCTTACCAAAGTCCCTTCCAAAGATACAGATTCACAATGTGACATTCTTTTTACTTCTTTCCAAAATTACTCAAGAACAAATACAATATATTTTTTCTTTGTGAGTACAATTGACAATCAAGTTTACACGTGCATCCAAAAGTATGAAACCCAATTTGCAAATACAACCCACATAAATACTGGCTCTAAGGTATATAAAATCTAGACCCAAATACTGATATTTCAACCAAAACCTAGCTGCTTCCTACAAGAATAAATAGTGGGCTCTTTTATTCCTACATATTCCTACAGCACTAACTAAACCTAAACAGACAACTTTGTTAGCAAAGGGAACACTGATAACTGCATAAAAATAAATACATGTTTTGTTAAATATCTAATGACACCTATAATTATATGAACCAATTCAAACTCCACACTTCAACAGCAATGGCAATTTTAAAGATGCCCAAAGCACATTAAATCAATCGGGCAAATTTCACACCTCTTGGTGCTGCCACAAAACCAAAATTAGTGAGCTGGATGTAAGTCTGACCTGACAAGGCAATTCTTAAATCTTCCTTCCATCTAAAATAGCTATAGTAGTATAATACTATCAAAAATGAGTCCCACATATGTAATACTTTCAACAATATTTTTTTTAATGAATCCCTTCTTTAAAAAGCCAAAAGACAAATAAAAACATGCACATCCATTTAGTAAAAGTAGAGGTAAGTAGAATATCACAGTAGAATGTCTGAAAATTAGTCTGATACCTGAAAAATCAGGTTTTTGAAACTTGCCAGCAGTCCCACAATGCATTGGCCCTGTGCCATCATGGCCTGGTGCCAGGCTAATGTGGAGCCAACCTAAAAATAGCAGCCAAGCAGCAGAATACATAGGTCCTTATGACCTCAGCTTTATTTCCCTAAATCAAGGGAGGTTGGAGGGGAGGAGACAATTACAGGGAAAGAAAGGAGTGGAGTACATTCTCATCGTTGGTACTTCCTATCTCTTCCAATTTCTTGCCTTTTTCCCTATCACTCCCTCCTACTTCTCTCTCCTCCTACTCTATTCCCCCATTCCAAAAAAGGAAGGGAGAGAATAAGGGTAGTAAGGGAAGGAGGAAAGGAAGGAGGGAGGGAGAGAAGGAAGGAGGGGAGAAGCTGAAGCTCTGAGGCTACTCCATCTCCTGACTTCAAGTCTCACTTGATTCCACCATCATCACAAAGCAGACATTGGTCACTTCAGTCCTCAGTTTTACTGCAGGTCTGGAGAAAGTATAAGACAAAAGTTACACAGGTGATAATTGGGGGAGGGAAGGAAGAGAAAACTAGTAATGTTGGCAAGAGTACAAAATCTTAAGTACTAAGAAAGCTTAAAGAATGCTAAAGAAACAGGACACTTTAAAAAGTCCTTACTCAAATACAACAATCAATTATAAACTTCTGTTAACCTGAATTTTAAATGTTTATTTTATGACAAATACTTATAAAATTCATGACCACCATCTTTGTAGAAATGAGTTCATATAAAGCAGTAGCAAGATGCAAAGGTTCCACAATAACAAATTCAGTATGCTACCTTTGGACTTCTGCAGGCCTTTACCCAGACCAATAGCAACACTAGAAGAGACTCCAGGCTCTGCCCTTTACACTGAAATTATAAAATATCTATACTTCACATATAAAAAAGCTGGTCACTGTCAGCAAATATTTAACAGATACAATTCTAAATTGTACTGGTGTAATTAAATTAAGTACAAAAATTTAAACCTTGCTTCTGTAGACTTACTTTACATGCTATCTTTTAATCATATTTTCTGTATAATACCTTTCAACATTATGGATCTGACATCAATTAACAATGACAAATGCTTTAAGTAAACAGACTGTTAAATAAGCCAGGACCAGGCAATAAGTCACCTGAATTTTAAGCACAATAATTCACTAAATGAGCTTCCAATTTATGTGATCAGCTTATTCAGTTAGTAAGAGTTTCAATGTACTGGCAGGTTCTATTGCATCCTTCCAATTAACATCTTCCCAATAAACTCTCTTTTTTAAAGAATTTAAATCATCTTATCAGCAATAATTATTAGTATAATGT